TGAACTGAGCTCTCTGTTTGGCCTGCAACTTTACTGCCTGTCTGGCCTGCAACTCTTCTCTCTGCCGTCTGAGGTGGACCCTTCTCGCTGCCGTCCGGGGCTAAACTCAGCTCTCTGTTTGGCCTGCAACTTTACTCTCTGCCGTCTGAGGTGGACCCTTCTCGCTGCCGTCCGGGGCTAAACTCAGCTCTCTGTTTGGCCTGCAACTTTACTCTCTGCCGTCTGAGGTGGACCCTTCTCGCTGCCGTCCGGGGCTGAACTGATTTCTGTCGACTGGGGTCCTGCTTTTATTGATGCCGCAACAAACTGGGGTGGGTCTGTCGGCGTCAGGGTTTTCTCGATAATTCCAAAAGTCGCATTACTTCTGATTTCCCATTATCGCTCTTATTTTCACCCCTACTTCCTCACAGTGCCTCTGGTGGGGAGGCGCATACCCATCTCTCCCGGTCTCTCGTATGTCAGGTGACCGTTTTCGACCAATCGGTCTTGATCGAGCGTTCTTTCTCCTCTTTCTCGCATATCACGTGACCGCTTTCGGCCAATGAGATTCTGGTTGGGCGTCTCCCGTACTTCGTGACGTCTCCAATCGGGCGTGGCTTATCCCGTCGTTGTCCTGGGAAAGAACACCTTGATAAAAAAAATCAAAATCTAATTTGGCCTTTTTCGCACGTACGAAAAATGATAATCTCGGCCTTTCTCATCTTCCTGGTCTCTGTCAAAACAGCCCGCCGCTAATTAGATGTGACTTCAGGAAGAATTTTCTCCGTCTTACTGGGCTCTCTGTGAGCCAAGAACAATCGTTTTTCACCTCTTTGTTTTTGCTCAGACCTGATAGTCAAAAATCTTAATTATCTGAAATGTCTTCACTTCATCATCGTGGGGGTTCCAATTTTAACAGGTCAGAATCTGTATACAATTCCAGCGGTCACCTTCTCATCCCAAAAAGACACCTTTCTCCGATTAATATTTCGTTTCCATTGTTCTAAAAATCCCATTTCTCCAAATTGATAATGAGTCTTCTACACAAAAGTAGGCCAGATGCTTTGACCGACATTTTTATCAATCGTACATATGTTCATACACTTTTACCAAGCCTGTTTTTTTCTTTCTTTTAATTACCTTTAATTCTATTCTCCCAAATAACAATCTCCATTGTCACTTGAAATTCGGTCGGGCGCGTTGGCCTCTTGACACCTGTTTTCGCTAATGGCCGGCCTTTTGCATTACTCATTTTCTTTTTCTTTTTTCCTTCTTTTTTTCTTCCCTTAGGATCGCCTAAGTACAATTAGAGAATTATTCTCGAAACCCAATTATTCTTCGTCTAAAAAACTAACAACTGGTTAATAAACCGAATAAAAAAAATTAAATCATATTTCTATGAATATTTCTTTTCTTTAGTTTTTTTCTAATATTGCAGGGTGCCACACAGAGAAGGATGGGGAACAAGCTCAGGGTGTCAGATGTCGATTAACATTACACTTGAATATTTGAAGATTATAAAAATCGGGGAAGCAAGTAAGGGGAAGGGAGTTCCACAGATGGGAAGTGCGGGAGAAGAAACTGTTTGAGTAGAAGAGACAGCTACATTTAACCGTTTTGACAGTGAAAGGGTGGGACCAAGTGGCCAGCCTGGTAGCTCGCTTAAATTCATGAAGTCCGGGAACCAGCAAGTAAGAAGTGGTTCCACGCTTCTCGAAACCTCCCGATCAAAGGCCTTGTTATCGGATGCAGTTTATCGTCTTACCCAGGAGGCGGATGTAGTTTATCGTCTTGCCCAGGACACGGATGTAGTCTATTGTCATACTCAGGACGCCGGATGTAGTTTATCGTCTTACCCAGGACGCGGATATAGTTTATTTTCATACCCAGGACGACGAAGCGACAGTTACTGAACTAGTATAAGTATACGCTGAACATTTTACTAATATACTAATACTGGGTGATTAATACTAGTTTTATTGTGAAATAAATAAATCACATCATAAAATGTGTCAATGTGTTGGGAGGAGACAAATTCATTTGGCTGCACAGATTCGACCCAAAATTTTAACGGTTATAAAAAGAATTCGGTGGGAGGGGATTTCTCTACGCGCCCCCGTCGCTACCGAATGTGACACACGGTCGAGATTTCAAGTCGGTTTAACGTCAATACCATGGAAAAATTGCGCAATCCCCCTGGGTATTTTCCCCTTTTGAGGACGCCTTAGATGATGGGTAATGACCTCATCTCCACCTCCCGATAGAGAGCTTGTGTCGGAGGGGATACCCCTCTACAGCATCACTAGAGCATGAGCTAAAATTTCTAAACAAGATAAACAGGTATTTACCAATCTTCCCACGGTGATGTGATGTGACCTAAGGTCGAGTTTAATACGGGGGTACTCGAGCACGTAAAATAAATTGCCCGGCACCCGGAACCATCGCTTGCGCCGGCATCGATATGACTACCGATCCCCTTACTCTAGTGCAATGGGATGGGTACTGCCGTTGCCTGGGTCTGAGCTTCCCAGTTGGGTACCAGTCCGCGACTGGGTTGCGCTCTGCCCGAAAACAGAGATGCCGCTAAGAGATGATATTCTACAGCCTATAGAGAGTAAATATGAATTAGGTGGAAAGATTGGTGCGTGATATTTTTTTTAAATTTAAAAAAAAAATAATGATCTACTAATAAATGGGTTAAAATGATTTTATGTAAATTCAGAATAATTAAAGTTAACGATAGGAGTATAATTTTGATTTTCCAAGCGTAGCTTAGATGTGGCACAAGGCCGAAAGTAGGGGGCACCCAGTGAGGATCGAACTCGCTACTCAATCGTAATTGTTCTAGCGAGACAAGATTGCTAACCATTACACCGCATCGAGGTGTCCAGAGATGATTCTCCAAGCGTAGCTTAGATGTAGCACAAGGCCAAAAGTTAGGAGCACCCAGTGAGGATCGTACTCACTACTCAATCGTAATTGTTCTAGCGAGACAAGATTGCTAACCATTACACCGCATCGAGGTGTCCAGAGATGATTCTCCAAGCGTAGCTTAGATGTGGCACAAGGCCAAAAGTATAGGGCACCCAGTGAGGATCGCACTCACTACTCAGTCGTAATTATTCTAGCGAGACAAGATTGCTAACGATTACATCGCCTCGAGGTGTCCAAAGATGATTCTCCAAGCGTAGCTTAGATGTGGCACAAGGCCAAAAGTATAGGGCACCCAGTGAGGATCGCACTCACTACTCAGTCGTAATTGTTCTAGCGAGACAAGATTGCTAACGATTACATCGCCTCGAGGTGTCCAAAGATGATTCTCCAAGCGTAGCTTAGATGTGGCACAAGGCCAAAAGTATAGGGCACCCAGTGAGGATCGCACTCACTTCTCATTCGTAATTATTCTAGCGAGACAAGCTTGTTAACCACTATACCGCCTCGATGTGTCCAACGATAAGAATATAAATTACCTTTAGAACAATCACCTTGTACAGATCTTGTTTCTTTAGCGGCATCTCAACTCATTATGTGTAATTTAATACTGTCATATCAGGAGTTGTTGAGACGAATCTCTCGGACGGCAGACAAAAATAAAATACTATTAAAAAATAAACAGAACGTCTAGTACAATATTTTGGACATTATTTGAACTCATAATCAAACCCTTTTATTCATCTACTGACTGAATACACTAAGGATTTGTTGGATTTAAACTATGACTTCTACGTACGCATCAACTTGTCACCATGTTGAATTCAGAAATACCGTGATCCGACTAGCGAACAAGGGAGGTAACTCAATTGTATATTGAGTTCTCGTTCTTTACAAGGGAAGTTAGTAGCGCCTCCTAACAAATACTGACATTTAATTTTCTTGGGAACATTAGTAATTTTCTTTACAAAAATATATTACTGGTAATCTTTATTTTCTTTTTTTGTTTTGTTTTTTTACGAAAATGTAATGTTGGTAATTTTTTACTATGAAAATGTAATACTGGTATTTTCAGTATAAAAATGTATGTTTATACTTTTATAGTGCTTGCTACCAGTTTTGGGGGTTAACTATTTACCCATAGCTGGGACCCTAACAAGTTTTAGTACTCCGGATCAGGGTGGACCTGGGGACAATAGTAATTAAGAGGTTGTTGCACGCTTCTGATTAGAGGCCTTGCTGCCGGATGTAGTTTATCGTCATACCCAAAACGATGTACAAATCTTAACATTAGTCCTTAAATTCTTTTTGTCAGGTGTAACCACAATGGGAACATCTGTGCGATGTTGCAGGATTTGAATGTAGTATGAACATTTGTGACTCCCTTTTTTGGTTAGATGGTTGTGTTATTTCATGCCGAAATCTAAATATTTTATACGAAATTTTATTTATTTTTAATTAATTTTTTAAAAATCTAATTTAAATATTTTTTTTTGAGATAATACTAGTTTTAATGTTACAGGGGTTACTAATTAACCTATGGCTGGCGGGTAGAAGAAGTGGATTCATGCCTTTCCCAAGGGTATTTGCGCGTAAGTGAATATAACAAACCCAACTGGAATTAGAACTCGGGCGAGAAAGAGAGAATTATTGACTTAGGTGAATTATTGAAAATGGAGAATTGGCAAATATGATTCCCTCAAAATAATTCACTCTTCCTCTTCAGGCATTTTATTTGTTTAGGTTATTATAAGTGTTATGAATAATCACGAGTGGTGTCCCCTTTTTTTGTTACTCTCCTCTTTGAGAGAGCTATTTCTATTTACTGAGACTATAAAAGGACACTATACGCGAACTTTGTATTCTCAATTGAATAAATCTTTCCTACACCCGCGTACTCTTTCATTACAATAAGTTCAGCTTATTTGTAGATAATAAAATTAATTTACTGATATAAGTCATTCTAATTAACCCACAACTAGAGGAGAAAATCTTGATCCAGGCTATTTGCGCATAAGTGAATATAACGAAAGCGATTGGAACTCTCCATTTCTGAGCCTTTATCCATTACAACACCTGTACATCCAAACATACTGCATCTGGTATTCCCAAGCGGTTACCCATCTAGCTACTGACCAGGTTCGATGTTGCTTAACTTCGGTGGTCGTACGAGGACCAGTGTTTCAACATGACGTAGCACTTAGCCGTATTTCGCTGTTTGATAAAAATATAAAAAGGAATAGCAATTCAAATATGTCTTCCACTAAAAATAACGTTTACTGTAATAAATAATGGCGGATAAAAAATAATCCCCTTTAAAAAAAAATATACAGTTGTTTATGTTTTAGGCGCGAAACTGAAGCTGGCAGATATAAATTCCCAACGTGAGATGAGATTTCCCTAAATAGGTAAGGCAAACTTTGCATCGTTAGGCTGTTTCGAAAAGTGGTTACCTTGATGGCAAAAAAGTGATGCAGGTTCAATTCATGTCGGAGGCACAATTTTTCATTTTAGTCGGACTTCTCAATTTAGGCCGACTTTTATTAATTTCACTGTTTAATAATAAAACAAATATAAGAACTATATATATATATATATGTGTGTGTGTGTGTGTGTAGTATATGTATTTGTTTGTGTGTGTGTGTACCTACATTCTTACCCAAACTGTAGAATGTAGCCATCTTTTTTCATCTATTTACATTTCTTTAATAATAAAATAATTAATAGAATTTCCTTTCTTTTTCTTTCTTTCTTTCTTTCTTTCTTTCTTTCTTTCTTTCTTTCTTTTTCTTTCTTTCTTTCTTTCTTTCTTTCTTATTACTTTTCTTCTATCATTCTGCTTCTTTTTCATTTTTTCTTTTTCTTCTTCCTTTTTGTCACTTTTCTCCTTCTTTTACTTCTTCTTCATTCAAGTTTTTGCTTTTCCTTCTGTTTTTTCTTTCACGATTTTCCTTCTTTTTTTTGTCACATTTTTGCTTCTTACATTTTATTCTTCTTGTTCTTTCACTTTTTTCTGCATTTTTTTTTACTTTTCTTTCACTTCTTATTCTTCTTCTTCTTCTTCTTCTGCTGCTGCTGCTGCTGCTGCTGTTGTTGTTTCTTTGCCTTCTTCGTCGTCGTCTACTTTTTTCTTTTGATTCTTTTTCTGCTTCTGTGACTTTTCTTCTATTTCTTTTCTTCTTCTTCTTCTTTTGCTTTTCTTCTACTTTTTTGTCACTTTTCTTCATCTTTCAGTTTTCTTCTTTTTGTCACTTTTTTCTTTTCTTTCTTTCACTCTTCTCCTTCTTCTTCGTTTACTGTTCATAACTGCCTTTCGCCATCATCATCATCATCATCGTCGTCGTCGTCGTCGTCATTGTGACCGACGTTAGAAGACTGGGAGTACACGAGTGGAAACTGCTTCGCCACCAAAAGTTAAGTGGCAACAAACAAAAAAAAAAGTATAAAAAAATGTAATAACAAATGCAGAAAAAACAAAAAACAAAAAAACACAATGTAGAAAAGACAGCCATAATGGCGGACATACGTTAGATCTTTTTTTTCTTTTCTTTTCTTTTTTTTTTGTTTTTTGTTTTGCTTTTTATTTCTTGGCCAAAGCAGTCGTTAAAGCTGAAATTGATAATAAATTTAAAAAGTTTAAAGATTGAGGCGCCTCAGTAGACGTGCAGGCATGCGTACAAAGACAGTCTATTACCAGCACACACACACACAAATATTGATAACATGAACACAGTGAAATAGTAGACATGAAGAAAGTGATAAAATAAACTGAAACACAGACACACACGTACAGAGAGAGAGAGAGGGAGGGAGAGAGAAAGGGAGAGAGAGGGAGAGAAAGAAAGAGAGAGAGTGGGGAGAGAGAGGGAGAGAAAGAAAGAGAGAGTGGGAGAGAGAGACAGAGAGAGAGGGAGAGAAAGAAAGAGAGAGAGAGTGGGAGAGAGAGACAGAGAGAAAGGGAGAGAGAGAGGGAGAGAAAGACAGAGAGAGAGAGACAGAGAGAGAGAGGGAGTGGGAGAGAGAAACAGAGAGAGAGATGGAGAGAAAGAAAGAGAGAGAGTGGGAGAGAGAGAGAGAGAGAGAAAGGGAGAGAGAGAGGGAGAGAAAGACAGAGAGAGAGACAGAGAGAGAGAGAGAGGGAGTCGGAGAGAGAAACAGAGAGAGAGAGACAGAGAGAGAGAGGAGAGGTATATCATTGAATTTAACACCATCATTAGGGAAATTTCAAATATATAATTTTTATCTATAAAATACTGACGAGGATAGATATGGGTAGACCTAGATAGATAAATCTTATGTGCTGCGTTTCTTCAGGACATAGACGATCACGGCTCTCCACAACTTCCCATCCCGTGTTGCTTTAGCAGGTTTTCTCTCTTTCTAACGATTTTTTTCGCCACTTTGCTTAGATCTTTAACTGCCCCTTTCGTTAATCCAAAGCGTGTTCGGATCTCGATGTCACATTTCCCATCCTTTGCTAAGACATTTTCAAAATATTTAAACTTCTGCATCTTCTTGATGTTGATATCTCCAATTTGTGCTTTGTATCTTGGGTCTTTTCTCTTGCTGATGGCTACACGTTTTGTCAGTTGATAGTTAGTCCTTTTTTCTCGCTTTCTTCTAGGGGTTTTTACAGTTTTCTTTCCGGCTCGGTCATTAACACAGTGTTATTTGCGTATATTATTTTGTTAAGACAGACAGACTGAATGACAGACAGAAAGAAAGAAAGAAAGAAAGAAAGAAAGTGAATGAGATTAATAGATATGAACAGACTGAGATAGATAGATAGATAGATAGATAGATAGATAGATAGATAGATAGATAGATAATGAAGAGATTCACATAGATAGATAGATAGATAGATGGATAGATAGATAGATAGATAGAAAAAGAAAGAGACTTAGGTTGATAAATATCAACGTATTGAGAGAAATATCTTAGAAGATAGATAGATAGATAATGCACAGACTGAGAAAGAAAAAAAGAAAGAAAGAAAGTAAGTAAGTGACGGAGATAGATAGATAGATAGATAGATAGATAGATAGATAGATAGAAACATACTTAGATAGGCAGGTAGGTATATATTAACGTATTGAGAGAGATATTTTAAAAGATAGATAGATAGATAATAAACAGACTAAGAAAGAAAGAAAGAAAGAAAGAAAGAAACTGAGATAGTCAGATATCGACATATTGAGATAGATATTTTAGATAACAGATAGATATGAACTGAGATAGATAAATAGATATAAATTAAGATAAATAGATAGATTCAAGTGTTACCAGTCAAATAGTGATTGTTAGATAAATTCTGATCATTGATCCTTTGATCAGATATTTGCATATTGGTTCTGGTCACCAAATTTTGCCAGTCCTACCAATTCGTATGCACAGGTTCTTCAGAATAGCCATGAGACAAGAACACAACTCACCTAAGCCAGTTGAAAATATACACAGAGAAGTAAATAGAATATCTAATCTTCACAATTTATAGAAAGCTACCCACCCCTCTATCAACCGTTGAATCTAATTGAATCACTCCATTGCCAATCAATAATCGTTATAGATATCTCACCACCATAACTTTTTGTTCATTTTGAGACGTGAACGTGGATGAAATCTTTGTTATTGCGTAAAGAATTATTCTTGAAACAAGAAGAAGAAGAAGGACGAGGGGGAGGAGGAAGAAGAACAACAACAACAAGCAGGGGGAGAAAAACAAAGCAGAAAAGAAGGAAAAGAAGAAGAATAAAGAACAAGTAGAAGAAGAAAGGTGAGGAAGAAAGAAGAAGAAGAAGAAGGACAAGCAAGACGGACCAAAAGAAGAAGAAGAACAAGAAGAAGGGGGAGGTAAAAAGAAGAAGAAGAAGAAGAGAAAGACGGGGGGAGACGGACGAAGCAGAAAGGTGAGGTAGAGAAGAAGAAGAAGAAGAAGAAGAAGAAGAAGAAGAAGAAGGAAGCAGGGAAGAAGAAGAAGAAGAAGAAGGAGAAGAAAAGGGGGAGAAGAAGACGAAGCACGGAAGGGGTGAGGAGAGAAGAAGAAAATTGAAGAAGAAGAAGAAGAAGAAGAAGAAGAAGAAGAAGAAGAAGAAGAAGGACGAGCGTGGGGAGACGGACAAGACCAGAAAGGTGAGGTAGAAGAAGAAGAAGAAGAAGAAGAAGAAGAAGAAGAAGAAGGAAGACGAGTAGGAGAAGAAGAAGAAGAAGAAGAAGAAGAAGAAGGACGAGGCCGGGGGGGACGAACAGAAAGGAGGTAGAGGAAGAAGAAGAAGAAGAAGAAGAAGAAGAAGAAGAAGAAGAAGAAGAAGAAGACGAGCGGGGGGAAGCAGAAAGGGGAGGAAGAAGAAGAAAAGAAAAGGACGAGAGCTGGGGTAGACGGACGAAATGAGGTAGAGAAGAAGAAGAAGAAGAAGAAGAAGAAGAAGAAGAAGAAGAAGAAGAAGAAGAAGAAGAAGGACGAGCGGGGGGACGGATGAACCAGAAAAGAGGAGGAAAAGAAAGACGAAGAAGAAGAAGAAGAAGAAGAAGAAGAAAGAAGAAGAAGAAGAAGGACGAGCGAGGGGAGACGGACGAAGCAGAAAGGTGAGGTAGAGAAGAAGAAGAAGAAGAAGAAGAAGAAGAAGAAGAAGAGAGAAGAAGAAGAAGAAGAAGAAGGGGGACGAAAAGTGAGGGGGGGAGACGGACGAAAAGATGAGCGGGGGGAAAGGCAGAAAGGTGAGATGTAAAGAAGAAGAGAAGAAGAAGAAGAAGAAGAAGAAGAAAGAAGAAGGAAGACGGACGAAAGATGAGGAGAAAGAAGAAGAAAGAAGAAGAAGAAGAAGAAGAAGAAGAAGAAGGACAGGCAGGGGGAGACGGAGGACGAGGTGTGGTGAGAAGAAGAAGAGAAGAATAGAAGAAGGACGAGCTGAGGGGGACGGACGAAGCAGAAAGGTGAGGTAGAGAAGAAGAAGAAGAAGAAGAAGAAGAAGAAGAAGAAGGATGGAGCGTGGAGACGGACGAAGCCAGAAAGGTGAGGTAGAGAAGAAGAAGAAGAAGAAGAAGAAGAAGAAGAAGAAGAAGAAGAAGAAGAAGAAGAAGAAGAAGAAGGACGAGCGGGGGGAGACGACGAAGTAGAAAAGGAGAAGAAGAAGAAGAAGGACGAGCTGGGGGGAGACAGAAGAAAGAAAGATGAGGTAGAGAAGAAGAAGA